TTTTGGTATTTTCACGCAAATTCTTCTGCTAGTTGGAGTTTAGTCTACTTCTGTATCCTTCCCTTCGAGGCTCATGGGTCCAAGATTATCTTCTGTGTCTGTGTCAATTGGTTTCCCTTTTCTTTGTTGAAGAGGGTCTGTGCAGTCCTTCTGCCTAGTCCGCCATCTTGCGAGAACTCTGTATTTTAATATGTAAATAAATGGTTAGTTAAATCACACTAGAAAACAAGTCATCAGGTGCTTAGATCCTTGTATAATGAATAAATTTCAGTTAAAAGGCATCAGGAGCTATTCCATATGGGAAGTAGAAGGAAGTAAAATAAATAGCAGGGTGTAAATGGATGCTCAGATAAAAACTAGTGTGAGAATAACTATATAAGACTTCCTGTATTATGAGAGGGCAATAACTTTAATGAGGATAACATGTCAAGACAAATTAGATTGACAAAGTAGAGAAAATGATGTAGTAAGACAGTGTTGCAAATATTCTGGGATTTGTAGAGTTTAGATTCTTTGAGAGTCAAAAAACAGCTTTTGGATAAATACTCATTTATTGATTGTGTTATTACCAAATAATAATGAAGGAAGTCAGCAAAGCAGAAAATCACTGTTTGGGGGTAGTTAGGAGAAATGTTTACCACTCTTTGTGATGCACTTTATGTATATAACCTTACTTAATCTTCACAGAACAAAATAATCAGTGGGACTTTTTGGAGGCATTGCTGTAAATTGCTATTTCTCCCTAAATACTCTGAAAACAGAGTGACTTGCCTAAATGACTTGGGCTTCTACATAAGCTCCATTTGAATGTAGAGGGAGGAAGTTTGACTTTTTTTTTTTTTTTCTAAGAAAATCAAAGACCGCTACTTAATGCTTTGCTGCCTTCCAATGGATCCTAAAGGAAGCATAGCATTTTAATGATTAAAAAGTAGAAAAGTACAATACCAACAAACACACCAAAGCAGGATAGCACTGGCTCATCTTGGCTCATTTGCTGTTTTTATTGCGATGGAAGACTTTTCTGCTTAGTATTTCTTTTCCATATCAGACTTGCCCCCATTCTCTATCATTTCTTCTTTTACTTATCTGAGACTTGGAATACTGTGATAGGTTCCTGAAAAATAAAATCATACTTTTCTGAAATGATGTTTTTTTATATCATTCTCTATGCTATCAATAGCAATATATTATCAATAGCAATATATTACTATTTTAATTTAAATGAAATTGAAAGTTCATTTATTTAATCTCATTAGCTATATTCCAAATACTTAGTAACCACTTATGGAAAAACACAGTATTAGGATATTTCCATAATTATAGAAAGTTTTATTAAACAATGCTCTTTTACAACCCACCATTTTCCCCATTGCCAGTTAGCTTAAGGAGGAATTCTCTACCTTGTTTTTTGACAACTTTATTAAATATCTATTTGGTACACAGCATAAGACTAAAGATAATAAAAGTGCTAAAATAAATATCTTACAATTTTCCTTCAAGATATTTATGGACAAGTTATAGAAGTACTCAAAAGTAATAAAAAAATTCATCAGTTCAGAGGTATGGTGGTTCAAGAGAGAATAAAAGTTCATTTACATATTTGGAAGGATTTTCTTATAGGAGGTAAAGGTTGAGATGGACATTATAGGGTTGAGAAGGATTTCCGTAAGTGAAGCTTTGGGCAGTAGACTAAGCAGGAAGAATAGCCCTTAGACACAGAAATGGAAAGGTGGATTATTCAGAAAATAATTAAAGATCCATTTTCAGTGCTTCTTTATATAAATCTCTGGAGAAATATGTCTGCTTCTGTAAAGATTTTAGCCTTGGAAACCCTATGGAGCAGTTCTAGCCTGGCCTGTAAGGGTAAGTACGAGAAAGCTGGTAGCTGAACTTCTAGAAAGTCTTGAACTGTAGTCTGAAGATGTTATTTATTTACTTGGAACTGAGAACCTTGGGAACTTGGAGAAAATGAGGTTTGTTGAAAGTCTATAGTAGTATTGAAAGATGAGAATGTGAGCTAGAATTTAAGTAGACAAAAAAAAAAAAAATGGAAGGAGCTCGAGGTGGGGGGCATGGTTAAAAAAAAATGGACATACCAAATATTGCTGAGAAAAAATTTACAGCCTGGCAATTTAAATGAGGTATCATTGGGAACAAACAGTCATTTTTTATGTGAGTAATGATTCCATTTTCCAGTAATATATTAGACAGTGTTTTACTGCTATTTATAAGGTTTCCACTCACCAATTTTTTCAGAAGTGGATAGTCTTACCCTTCCCAGATGTTTACCTGTGTTTTATTGACTATGCAAAGGCATTCAGCTGTGTGGATCATGACAAATTATACACATTGAGAAGAATGGGAATTCCAGAACACTTAATTGTGCTCATGAGGAACCTGTATGTAGACCAAGAGGCTGTCATTTATAAACAGAACAAGAAGATAGTGCATTATTTAAAATCAGGAAGGGGCATCAGAGTTGTATCCTTTCACCATACTTATTCAGTCTGTATGCTGAGCAAATGATCTGAGAAGCTAGACTATATAATGAGGAACACAGCATCAGGATTGGAAGAAGACTCATCGACAACCTGTGATACGCAGATGCCGCAGCCTTGCTGAAAGTGAAGAGATTTGAAGTACTTACTGATGAAGATCAAAGATTAAGCCTTCAATAAGGATTATGTTTCAACATAAAGAAAAATCCTTACCACTAACCAGCATCAGTATAAATGGAGAAAAGATTGAAGTTGTCAAAGATTTCATTATACTTGAATTCACAGTCAACACCCATGGAAGCAGCAGGTAAGAAATCAGACATCATATTGCACTGGGCACATCTGCTGCAAAAGACCTCTTTAAAGTGGTGAGTGACCAAGATGTCTCTTTAAAGAGTAAGGTGCACTTAATCCAAGCCATGGCATTTTCAGTCATCTCAAAACTGGACAGTGAACAAGGAAGACTGAAGAACAATTGATACCTTTGAATTGTGATGTTAGTGAAAATACCGTGGACTGCCAGAAGAACGAACAAATCTGTCCTGGAAAAAGTACAGTTAGAGTGTTCCTTAGTAGCGAGAATGCAGACTTCATCTCACCTAGTTTGGCCAAGTTGTCAGAAGGGACTAGTAGTCCCTAGAGATCACATGTGGTAAAGCAGAGGGTCAGCAAAAAAGGGAAGACCCCACAATGATATGGATTGGCACAGTGGCTGTAGCGATGGGCTCAGTCATAGCAGGGATTGTGAGGGCAACATAGGACTAGGCAATATTTCATTCTGTTGTGCCGTAGGGTCACTGTGAGTTGGAGTTGACTCAGTAGCACCTAACAACAGTAGCAGCAGTAATTCCATTAATACTAATACAGAGAAGTTTTGTGAAGCAAGCTGATAAGTAGGAATTTAAAACGTCTGCGGTACATTTTTTCTGGACATCTTGAGCAAAGTTAGAAATAGAAATACATGTTGTTCCATGACTTTTACTTGCTTACTAGCTTCTGCTCCAGCAGTATTTTTTTCTCATCACATCATTCAAATCTACCCATTTTTAAGGTTCATGTTATATTCCATCTCATTCATCAAGTGTTCCAGTATACACTAAACTATTTCCTTTCTGACTGTCACTGAATTTTATTATCTCTAGAACATACTTTGCCACTTAGTCTTTTTTGTTGTTATTTGGTATCTATTCCTTGTCTTTCCCAGCTAAATTCAGGTTAAAGATTCGGTCATTTTTCTCTCTGCATTCCCTACTCCTGCTAGCATGGGAGAGGTCAAAAAAACATCAGTTGAATAATATATAGAGTTTAGGTATATCTGAAGGAGCTCTGGTAGCATAGTGGCTAAGGCACTTGACTGCTCACCAGATGGCTGGCGGTTCAAACCCATCAGCCACTCCTCGGAAGGAAGGTTGGGCAATCCTACTTCCGTAGTGATACTGCCTCGGAAACCCAAGGAGGGGTCGCTATGAGTCAGGGCTGACTCGACGGCACATAACAACAACAACAACAAGGTATATCTGAATTCAATCTATTAAAATTGTTTCTACTTATAAAGTTTATGTAAAACTTTACCACACACATTTATTTCACATATCCATAAAATGTTTAAGGTTGGGTTTTATCTTTCCTTTCAGTTCAGGAAAGCAATTTTAAATATGGACATTGATAATGAGCTTATTCAAAGAAAATATTTTATGGCTTTTGCTGAATATGGTCTTTACAGTTTAATTATTTATTTGTATTTATGTGTATTGATTTTCCTGAACTTCTTTACTAGTATATTCAAAAGATGTAAAAGTTTAGTTCATTACATTTGTCGTGTCACATTAAAAAATATAAAAATTTGTTTTGATTTCTAGATACATCATTGTGGTGGAGCATGATCTAAGTGTATTAGACTATCTCTCTGACTTCATCTGCTGTTTATATGGTGTACCAAGTGCTTATGGTGTTGTCACTATGCCTTTTAGCGTAAGAGAAGGTAACTTCTAAAACTGCTTTCACTAATTAATTTTATTGGTCATTAAAAATGTTATTCCCTAGACTTAATTTTTTATCAGTCTTTAAAAATGTTCCATTTTTTTCTACTTGATTTTTTTTTTAGTTGTAATTTTTTGTTTAAAAATACAGCAGAAGTGATATGGCAGAAACTGTCTTTTATATCAGATGTAAAAAATCTTATGTGAAAATTACATATGGTAATAAAAAGATACAGTGTTTCATGTGTGTGCATGCACATGCAAATTACTTACACTTGCATTAGATATATGACACATTATTTTGTCACTTCATTATATGTTATCAAAAATCTACAGAAATTTAAAATCTTTGCATAGACATTGCTCCCCGGAGAGCCTAGGTTTTGGGCTTTTATGTGAAGATTTCTTGCTAAGGAATGGTTTTAGTCTGTAATTTTCCCTTATTAATCTATTGATAATGACTTTCTTTCCAATAGGAATAAACATATTTTTAGATGGCTATGTTCCAACAGAAAACTTGAGATTCAGAGATGCATCACTTGTTTTTAAAGTGGCTGAAACAGCAAATGAAGAAGAAGTTAAAAAGATGTGTATGTATAAGTATCCAGGAATGAAGAAAAAGATGGGAGAGTTTGAGTTAGCAATTGTAGCTGGAGAGTTTACAGATTCTGAAATTATGGTGATGCTGGGGGAAAATGGTAAGTTTTCCTTATTTTGTGATATTTGAAATTCTGCTTATCCAGTCACTTAGTTTTAATTATTCCATAAAATAATGTGACTCACTTATAGGGATGGAAACTGCATTGATTCATAGTTTTCTCATTGTTGCTTCACACTTTCGTGACCTTGTCTATACCATCATTCATTCAAGTTAATGGTTCTTGTTTTATTTTATATAACGTTCAGTGAAAATAAAAAGTTTCTTCTGAGAAGTCTTTCTACGTACAAATTGATAGAGCAGTTATTTATCTTGAAGACTGAGTAGGAAGGAAAGGATAAATTGATAGTTGACAAGCAATCTAGTTTAGATAAAATTTCCTTGCTCATCTCCTTTTGGAGCTTTCCTTATTTGAAATTTATGTTACAGTCTAACTTTGTAAATATCTGTATCACCATCATTTGTAATATTAGATTGGCATCAAAAGTGTACATATGAGATAAATTTGAGTACCAAATATGTGCTGATACTTTCATGGGTTTTTTTTTTTTTTTTTTTTCACTGTTTCATCATAAATTTATTTCATTTATTTCATTTTTTAATGCATTTTATTAAAATATAATTTATGTACAGTGAAATACACAAAACCAAAGTGATATGGGTTATTTTATTTGTTTGTTTGTTTGTTTGTTTGTTTGTTTATGCAGTATTCCTTCCCTCCCCTCCCACCCTTGGCAACCAACAAAGAAAGTTTCTCTCCATATATAAACCTTTCCTTGACCCTCCACAACAACTAATACTATATTTGTCCTTCTGTATTTAACTTATTTCACTCAGCATAATGCCCTCCAAGTTCATCCATATTATGCAGTGTTTTACGGACTACATTATTCTTTAGTGCTGCATAGCATTCCATTATGTGTATATACCATAGTTTGGTCAACCACTCTTCCACTATAAATCTTAAGAGTAGAGATAGGTCCCTTGCCAGATACGTAATTATCGGCAAATAGGAATTTGTTGCTGTCATTTTTGTTATGTGCTTTTTCATGGTATCAATTTCACTGTTCCATATAATTTTCTATGCTGAGCTTGTTTCATTTATGAATTGTGTTATCACTTCATTGCTATTGTTTCAGTATTTGCTGAACATTTGTGCTGATCCTCTTTTTTGGTGTGAAGGGTTATCATTTTTCTTTGAGGTTACCCTGTGATTTATAGTTTTCTTCCCAAGTTTAGAACAGTCTGTTCTATCTTGCAGTTGTCTTGACTTCCCTACCATCTAGAAGTTGTGTAATGACACAGTTTTTTCCCTCTTTTTGGTTTGTAGTTGTTCTCATTTGTCAATTGATGTCTCTGGTTCCGTTTACAATCTTGTAGGCTTTTTTAGTTTGGATACTTCCAAAGCTGGATTGGTTTCTGCGTTATATCATCATATGTGTTAATTGTCAGTTGTTATTTGCTGTTGTTGCTTCTCTGTCCAAATGATTCCCTTTAGCATCTCTTATAAGGTTGGTCTTGTTTTAACAAATTCCCTTAATTTCTGCTTATTTGGAAATGTCCTAATTTCACCATCATATTTGAGAGACAGTTTTGCTGGGTTCATAATTCTTGCTTGGAAATTTTTCTCTTTCAGGTTTCATATATACCATCCCATTGTCTTCTCACCTGCCTGGTTTCTGCCAAGAAAACCAAGTTTAGTCTTATTGGTTGCCCCCGTAGGTAACTTTTCTTTTTTCTCATGCTGCTCTCCTGATTTTTTCTTTGTCTTTGGTTTTGGTAAGTTTGATGATGATATGTCTGGGTGATTTTCTTTTGGGGTCTATCCTGTTTGACCTCCAAGTCAATGGATATATTCTCATTTTTCATCATACCAGGAAAATTCTCTTCCAACAAATCTTCGACAATTTTCTCTGTAGTTTTATTTGTCTCTTCCTGTTCTGGAATTCCTATTACACATAGGTTATTCCTTTTGATGGTATCCAACATGAACCTTAGGCTTTTTTCATTTTGTTTTAATCTTTTTTCTGATTCATCCCTTTCTGAAGAAGTGTTCAGGTATTTGCCTTCAATCTCCCTAATTCTGTCTTCCATTGATTCAATTCTGCTCCTTTATCCATTCAGTGTCTTAACTATTTCTGAAAATTTACTATTAATCTTCTGGATTTCTGTGTGTAGATTTTGTATCATTTCTCATTTTTCATTTATTTTGTCATTTTGTTCTTGTATTGTCTCAGAATTGTTCTAGGGTTTTCTCTGTGTTTCCCTTGATCTGTCTCTCAATTCATTGAAGATACCTAAATAGAATTCTTTTTATTTCCTTATCAGGGAGTTCCAATGCTGCATCTTCCTCAGGAATGTGTTTTGGGTCTGTATTCTGGTCCTTTGTTTCTCCTGTTTTATCTTCTTTGTGTGGACTGTGATGCTCTGTTGTCTCCGAGACATTGTGATGTTTTTTGTTTATATTTAACTGATGATTGTATGTTGGAGTGACTTGCCACAATTTTCATTTTCTTTGTTTTGTTTGTACGTTATCTACACAAGCGAGGTACTGTGCTCCTCTATTCACTAGTTGACAGCACTTGTGCACTCACCACCTGTCTCCTTTCCTGTTGTCAGCCTCTCATATGTCCCTGCCAGCCTTGGCAAACAGAGCCTATTCTTAGGTCCCTGGAATCTGAATAAGAATGCTATCACTTTAAAATCCAAAATGATTGCCACTTGTAAAGATTTAAAATGGATGCGCCCTTGATCACTTTAAATATCTAAAATGGCCACTGCTTGTACACATTCAAAATGGCTGCGCCTTTGGTCACTTTAAATATCAAAAATGGCCACCGCTTGTAAACATTCAAAATGGCTGCACCCTCAGTCACTTTAATTATTCAAAATTGCTGTACCCTCCGGAGTGCGGAAAGTCAACAGCTCAGGTTGTCTCCCTCCTTGTTGTTTCCCTTCCTATTCATAGGCCACCAGCACAGTCGTCCCTGCAGCCCTTGGTGACCAGGGCTGATCTTTAGGTTGATTCTCCGGTCCCAACACCACTTGGAAATATTCAGGCTGTTGGTCCCATCAGCGTAGCTGACAGTCCACAGCTCTGACCATCTCTGTACTCACTGGTTTTGTTCAGGTTTTTCCACTAGTTGGTGCCTAATCCACTTCTGTTTAGTTCCTTTCAAAGCTCAGGGCTCCAGGATTATCTTCTGTATCCCTGTCCCTTAGTTTTCCTGTTCTTTGTTGAAGAGGGTCTATGTTGCTTGTCTGCCTATTCCTCCATCTTACCGGAAGTCAAATTTATTATTTTTTTATAAACCTATTCCTGTACTTAGTTATAATAAGAAAACATTTTTTGTAAGCCCAACTTACATGTATCAATATACCTACAAGGTTAAAAGTCTACACTCTACTTTCATGATTTAAACAATATTAGATTTGAATTGTAATCTCTTAGAGCTTATAAAACTACTGTAGAAAAAATTATTTTCTAAATTCTTCATATTTTTAATTGCATTATAGTTGATTTAAATATTTTATATAAATGAACTTTCAAATGATAGTAATTATCATAAAAGTCTATAATATTTTAAGTCAGTTGTGTGCGATATTATTTTGAATATGTGTTTTTAAAAGTAACCAAAGATTTAGTCATGCTTTATTATAAACATTAACTAGTCTATATTTTTAATTAGCTTAGATGGATATTTGAGAAGTGAACAAAGTAGGATATAGTAGTTTACTGTGTTAAATGCAAAGTACGTTTCAGGTCAATATATTGTAAATTATGGTTTTCCCAGGTACTGGTAAAACAACATTTATCAGAATGCTTGCTGGAAGACTTAAACCTGATGAAGGAGGTACTGTTTTAATCTTAAATCTTTTCACTCTGTTCTACATAGTACACTTTGAAGAGCTGGGCAGTTTTCAGTGTCTTGTTTATTTGCGTTATTTTACAGGAGAAGTACCAGTTCTAAATGTCAGTTATAAGCCACAGAAGATCAGTCCCAAATCAACTGTGAGTTGTTACTGTTATTCAGTGATTAAAGAAAAAATTTTATGTGTACCTATTTCTTTAATCTTTTACTCTCTTAAAAGTATCCTCCAAGTTAGATTTTGTATAGGTTTATCAAAAGTAGCTAAGGAAGGTATGAGGCTTATGACCCTTCATTCATTTCCATTACTGGCAGGAATATACTTAAAATTTGTTTGTCATCTTTTTCCAAAGTAAACCTTTGAAGAAAACTTGATGAGGTTTGTGTTGCAAATGACACCATCAAGAAAGTGAAGAGACAACCACCAAGTAGAAAATATTTGCAAATCGTGAAGAAACTTGTGAAGAGCCAGAACTCACCTGCACTACCTTGTTTTTCCAGTTGTCCTAAGTTTTCCACCTTTAGTGAAGGGCAGTCTTACCACTTTTCTGTCACTGTCTATTGGTGGAAAATATTTACATTTTCCTTTTCTGACTTACACAGATTCCAACTTTCACAAGTTTTACTGTATCTGATAAGAGACTTCCATCCAGAATATATAAAGAACTATGGGAGCTCTGGTAGCATAGTGGCTAAGGCACTTGACTGCTAACCAGAAGGCTGGCGGTTCAAACCCACCAGCCACTCCCCAGAAGGAAGATGGGGCAGTCTACTTCTGTAGTGATACTGCCTCGGAAACCCAAGGAGGGGTCGCTATGAGTCGGGTCTGACTCGACGGCACATAACAACAACATTATAACTCAGTTTAAAAATGTGCAAAGGATTTAAATAGACTTTTTGTCAAAGAAGATACGCAAATAACCAATAAGCACTATGGAAAGATGCTCAGCATCATTAATTATTCCAAACCCACTGCCATCGAATCAGTTCTGACTCATAGCAACCCTTTGCACAGAGTAGAACTCCCAAGGCTGTAATTTTCACAGAAGCAGACTGCCTCATCTTTGTCCTTTAGAGCAGCTAGCAGGTTTGAAACACTGACCTTTTGGTTAGCAGCCAAATGCATTAATCACACTACACTATCAGAACTCCATCATTAATCATTAGAGAAAATGCAAATCAAAACTACAGTGGGACACCATTTTCACACCCACTCCATAAAACTCTTGGCCATCGAGTCAGTTCCGACTAAAAGCAACATCATAGAGCAGAATAGAACTCCGATATGGTTGCCAAGGCTCTAAATCTTCACAGAAGCAAACTGCCTCATCATTCTCCCACAGAGTAGCTGGTGGGTTTGAAGCGCTGACCTTTTGGTTAGCAGCTAAGTGCTTTAACCACTGTACCACCAGAGCTGCTTTCATATCCACTAAAACCGACAAACCAAACTCACTGCCATCGAGTCATTTCCGACTCATAGTGACCCTTATTGGGTTTCTGAGGCTGAAATCTTTACAGAAGTAGATTGCTCCATCTTCCTTCCATGGAGCAGCTGGTGGGTTTGAACCACCGACCTTGTGCTTAGCAACCAAATCCCTTATCCATTGTGCCACCATAAACCAAACCAAACCAAACACACTGCCATTGAGTCAGATCCAACTCATAGTGACCCCTTCTTGGGTTTCTGAGGCAGTATCACTACAGAAGTAGATTGACTAATCTTCCTTCTGAAGAGTGGCTGGTGGGTTTGAACCACCATCCTACTCGTTAGCAGTCTAATGCCTTAGGCACTATGCCACTAGAGCTCCTATGCCACCAGAGCTCCTTTCCGTATCCACTAGTATAGCTCTGGTGGCATGGGAAGACTGGGCAATCTACTTCCATAGAGATACTGCCTCAAAAACCCGAGGAAGGGTCGCTATGAGTCAGGTCTGACTTGATGGCAGTGAGTTTGGTTTGATTTTTGGGAGGATGGCTAAAATCAGAAAGTTACACACTAAGTGTTGGTGAGGATGTGAAATAATTGGAATGCTCATATATTTTTGGTGAATATAAAATGATAGAGCCACTTTGGGATAATCAGGCAGCTCCTCAAAATATTGAACGTAGTTAGTTACCTATTAACAAGCAATTCTACTCCTAAGTATATTCCAAAAATAAATGAAAATGTATCTAATACAAAACTTGTACACAAATGTTCATAGCAGCATTATTCATAATGACCAAAAAGTCTAGAAATAAAAATCCCATTGTTCATGAACTGATGAATGGATAAACATATACAGGAATATTATTTGGCTATAAAAAGAAATGAAGTACTGATACATGTTATAACATAGATGAACCTTGAAAACATGATAAAGTTAACCTTTGATTTCTATGACTATAATGAACTTAGCTACATTATCTAAACTCGGTACATGAACACTTTTTATATCATGCCTATTTGAGAACGCTTGTTATTTGCTGTCAAGTCGGACTGACTCATAGCGAGCCCTTCTTGGGTTTCCGAGGTGGTATCACTACAGAAGTAGATTGCCCAACCTTCCTTCTGAGGAGTGGCTGTAGTGGGTTTGAACCGCCAGCCTTCTAGTTAGCAGTCAAGTGCCTTAGGCACTATGCTACCAGAGCTCCCTAGAGAACACTTAGCTTATAATAAAATTTTAGTCTTTGGTACTTTCTCTAAGCTTTGTTCTCAAACTCAGCCCTCTCTTGAATGACAAGAGAAAGGCATCTTACCTTGTGCTTTAGCATACTTTTTGTGTTACCTGTTACTGATTGCATCAGTTGCTTAATTCCCACCTTGGCCTTCAGAATCATTCCTGCTTTGTAATAACCTCTGAAACATTCATCATTTGCTTATTACTTTCAAATTTAAGATTATTATTGCTTTTGTATTTGTTGGAAATAATAGATTATGAATAGGAAATCTCAAACCTTGCCATAGATAATGTGATAGCTAAGCATAAAAATACTGTGAATATCTGTTGGTAGCAAATTGATACACTTTTGCTTTGGAATTTTAACTATATTGACTCATAACTAGAAGAGTTTTGTACTGAAATTTTATCGTTTAAATGTTTTCCATTAAAAACAGGGAAGTGTTCGCCAGTTACTACATGAAAAAATAAGAGATGCTTACACTCATCCACAATTTGTGACTGATGTAATGAAGCCTCTACAGATTGAAAATATCATTGACCAGGAGGTACTTTGAAATAATTATTTTCACTTTTTAGACTTTGATGTTTGCCCATGGCTCACTAAACTACTTCTTCAAATAGGTACAGACATTATCTGGTGGTGAACTGCAGCGAGTAGCTTTAGCTCTTTGTTTGGGCAAACCTGCTGATGTCTATTTAATTGATGAACCATCTGCATATTTGGATTCTGAGCAAAGACTTATGGCAGCAAGAGTTGTTAAACGGTAAATGTTTTGCCCATTTAGTATTATGCATAGTAGTGATATACATATATCCTTAGTATACATTTGAATGTTTTATGATATAATGCTTTTTTTTTTTTTTTTTTTTTAATGTCAAAATTGCTTTATTTTAGCTTCATACTCCATGCCAAAAAGACTGCCTTTGTTGTGGAACATGACTTCATCATGGCTACCTATCTAGCAGATCGGGTCATCGTTTTTGATGGTATTCCATCTAAGAACACAGTTGCAAACAGGTAAAATTATGTTTTTAAATGATCAAAGCTAATTATAAGTTGTAATTAATAAGAAAGTATTGCATTTTAAATTTTCCAATAAGCTTATAAAAATTAAAGTAATGCCTTTTAGGGGGAACCACCATGTTGCAGTAATGCACAAAAGTGATGAATGCAAAGGGAAGGATGAGAGGTACCCACTGTATGTTCTCTAGCCCTTTGAGAAAACAGAGTTGTTCCTTAGACCACATACTTGTGAATTTATGTTGTTGTTGTTGGGTGCCATCGACTCATCTCCAACTCTTAGCGACCCTATGTACAACAGAGTGAAACACTGCCCAGTCCTGTGCCAGAATCAGAATCCTTGCTATACCTGAGCTCATCGTTAAAGCCACTGTGTCAATCATCATGTTGAAGGCCTTTTCCTTTTTCATTGACCCTCTACTATCAAGTATGATCTCCTTCTCCAGGGAATGCTCCCTTCTAATAACATGGGCTAAGTAGGTGAGACGAAGTCTGGCCATTCTTGCTTCCAAGGTGCACTCCACCTGCATTTCTTCCAGGACACATTTGTTAGCTCTTCTGGCAGTCCATGGTACTTTCAGTATTCTGCACCAACACCACAACTCAAAGAATTAAACTCTTCTTCAGTTTTCCTTATTCATTGTCCAGCTCTCACATGCATATGAGGCAATTGAAAATACTATGGCTTGGGTTAGGCACACTTTAGTCTTCAAGGAGATGTCTTTGCTCTTCAGCACTTTAAAGAGGTCTTTTGCAGCAGATTTGTCAAGTGCAGTACATCATCTGATTTCTTGACTGCTGCTTCCATTGGTGTTGATTATAGAACTAAGTAATACGAAATCTTTAACAACTTGAGGCTTTTCTCCATTTGTCGTGATGCTGCTTATTGGTCCAGTTGTGAGGATTTTTGTTCTCTTTGTGTTGAGGTGTAATCCATACTGCAAACTGTAGTCTTTAATCTTCATCAGTAAGTGCTTCAAGTCATCCTTACTTTCAGCAAGCAAAGTTTTGTCGTCTTTGTATCACACGTCATTAGTGAGTCTTCCTCCAATCCTGATCCCACATTCTTCTTCATATAATCCAGCTTCTTGGATTATTTCCTCAGCATACACATTGAGTAAGTGTGGTAAAAAGATACAACCCTGACACACACTCCCTTCTTGATTTTAAACCATGCGGTGTCCCTTGTTCTGTTTGAATGACAGCCTCCTAGTCTATGTACAGGTTCCTCATGAGTACAATTAAGTGTTCTCAAATTCCTATTCTTCTCAATGTTACCTATAATTGGTTATGATCCGCACAATCAAATGCTTTTGTATAGTCAATAAAACACAAGTAAACATCTTTCTGATATTCTTTGCTTTCAGCCAAGATCCATCTGACATCAGCAGTGATGTCCTTCATTCCATGTCCTCTTCTGAATCCAGCTAGCATTTCTGGAAGTTCTCTTATCAATATACTGCTGCAGCCGTTTTTGAATCTTCATTAAGGTTTTACTTACATGTGATATGAATGATATCATTTGATAATTTCCACATTTTGTGGGATCAGTTTTCTTTGGAATGGGTAAAAATATAGATCTCTTCAAGTCAGTTGGCCAGGTAACTGTCTTCCAGATTTCTTGAAATAGATAAGTGAATTTATGAAAAAGTAGTATTGCAGATGTCGAGGGAATAGGCAGTGTTCAAGAAGGAATTCCCCATAAATATGACCTTGACAAAAGTGGAAGTCTACAGTGTTACCTAGTAATTCAGAACAGTTAATTCAAAAACAATTATAGCAGTATATTGACAGGGAACTTCCAGAAATGAAGCTGGATTCAGAGACGATGTGGAATATCATTGCTAATGTCAGATGGATCTTGGCTGAAAAAAAAAAGAATACCAGAAAGATGTTTGTGTTTTGTTGACTATGCAAAAGCATTTGACTACGTGGATCATAACACATTATGGATAACATTGAGAAGAATGGGAATTCCAGAACACTTAATTATGCTTATGAGGAACCTGTTATTCCAACAGAACAAAAGGATACTGCAAGGTCTGAATTCAGGAAGGGTATGTATCAGGGTTGTATCTTCACCATACTTACTCAATCTGTATGCTGAGCAGGTAATCCATGAATCTGAACTATATAAAGAATGCAGCATCAGGATTGGAGGAAGACTCACTAACAACCTGCGATATGCAGGTGACCACCTTACTTGCTGAAAGTGAAGATGACTTGAAGCATTTACTGATAAAGATTAAAGACTACAGTCAGCAGTATGGATTACTTCTCAACATAAAGAAGACAAAAATCCTCAACAACTGGACCAATAAGCAGCATCACAATAAGTGGAGGAAAGATTGAAGTTGTCAAGAGGTTTCATATTACTTGGTTCCACAGTCAACACCAATGGAAGCAGCAGGCAAGACATCAGATGCTATATTGCACTGGGCAAATCTGCTGCAAAAGACCTCTTTAAAGTGCTGAAGAGCAAAGATATCTTTGAAGACTAGGGTGTGCCTTACCAAGGCCATGGTGTTCTCAGTTACCTCATATACATCTGAAAGCTGAACAATGAGTAAGGAAGCCTGAAGAAGAGTAGATGCTTTTGAGTTCTGGTGTTGGCTAAGAATACTCAAAGTCCCATGGACTGCCAGAAGAACTAACAAATGTGACCTGGAGGAAGTGCAGCTGTAATACTCCTTGGAAACAAGAATGGCCAGACTTCATCTTACCTACATTCCTTATGTTGGTAGAAAGGACCATTCCCTGGAAAAAGGATATCATGCTTGGTAAAATGGAAGGTTGGCAAAAAAGGGGCAGGCCCTCAACAAGATGGATTGATACAGTTGCTGTGATGATGGGCTCAGGTATAGCAGGGATGGTTAGGCTGGTGCAGGACTGGTCATTGTTTCCTTCTATTTTACATAGGGTCTCTTTGAGTCAGCACCAACTCGAGGGCACCTAACAATAGCAATAACACAGTGTTATCTAGCATGCTGTTGGCATTGTTATAGACAGACAAAGGCAAGATTCTTGCCAAGAGAATTGATGTCTGTATTGAACATGTTAAGCACTCTTAAGAGCCTCAAAACTCATAAAGGAAAATGATCAGAAAGAGAAAGAAACCAAAGAGAAAAGGTACCTGGGTTCAAATGAAGTGCCAGCCTGCTCCAATCAGATGGGCACACTTTGTGGGAACCAGTGGAAAGGAGCCTGAGTTGCCAGAACCTATTCCCTGTGAATTCATGGCATGATAAAAAGAAGATTTCAGTCTTTGATTTTAATTGTGTCAAAGTGTGGTGTCCTCTCCCCTACATATGTATTTTAAACACATTTTATTTCCTAATTTGCTGGGCAGTAAGTGCCTTTTACTTTTAAAATTTAGCACTTGCTGAAAAATGCAAGGTGACTTATTCACCAAGGAACATACAGTCAGTGGTTAGAAAAACTATATTATTTATGAAATACCTTAATTTGACAGTTAAAAATTAAAAAAAGTACCACTACTTTAATTTGAAGTAAGAATTATCTAGAGATTCTTGACATGATTTTATGTCTCCTTAGCTCATTCATATTGAATAATACATGATGGGACCAGATAGAATAACAGTTTTCAGACTTAACCCTAGTGTAGAATCCCTGACCTGGGAGGATAAACCTGCAGAACTATAGGCCCCTCACTTTTTCTTTCAGTTTAATGTTTATTTGCTTCATTATGTGAATATTCAAGTACGATTTAGTATGATTTTCTTTTTACAAACAGTACCTTGAAAGCCATTGATTTAGTACATGACAGAAAACAAGACCCAAAATGGTTACAAGATTTGCCCAACTTATTATACTAGAGCAGGGTTGTCCATGGTGGATGGGTTTTAGCTGAGCTTCCAGATTGAGACAGACTTGGAAGAAGGAAAAGGCCATGCACTTCTCAAAGAATTGGCCAGTGAAAATCTTATAAACGGCAGTGAAACACTGTCTGATGTATTACTGCAAAACATAATGAAATATTGTCCAGTACAGTGCTGGAAGATGAGCCCCTCAGGTCGGAAGGCACTCAAAATATGGCTGGGATAGAGCTGCCTCATCAATCAGAACATGAAATGTATGAGGTATGAATGGAGGAAAATTGGAAGTTGTCAGAAATGAAATGGAGCCCATAAAGATTGACATCCTAGGCATTAGTGAGCTGAAATGGACCGGTTTTGGCCTTTTTGAATCAGATGACCGTATGAGCTACTATGCCAGGAATGAAAAATTGAAGAGGAATGGTGTGGCATTCATCATCACAAAAGATGTTTCAAGATCTATGCTGAAGTACAGTGCTATCAGGATAGGATAATAACCATATGCCTACAAGGAAGAGCAGTTAATACTGCTATTACTGAGATTTATGCACCATCTACCAAAGCCAAAGATGAGGAAATTGAAGATTTTTACCAACTTCTGCAGTTTGAAATTGATTGAACATGCAGTCAAGATGTTCTGATTATCACTGGTGACTGGAATGCAAAACTTGGAAACAAAGAAGAATCATTGGTAGTTGGAAAATTTGGCCGTGGCAGTTTTGTGTGCTTTCAGCATGTTTAAGGAGTCCTGGTAATGCAGTGATTAAGCTCTCAACTATTAACCAGAAGGTCGGCAATTTTAACCCACCAGCTGCTCTGTAGGAGAAAGATTTGTTAATCTGCTTCCGTAAAGATTACAACCTTGGAAACCCTATGGGGCAATTCTACTCTATCCTCTGTAGGATTGCTATGAATTGGAATGAACTCAGTGGCAACAAGTTTTTCATTCAACATGTTTATGGTGTTGGAGAGTGGTGAATGGATTTGCTGCTTGAATAATTCATCCAGGAAATATAAGCACAGTCCAGTCATCATTATTCACAGATTGTTATTTACAAATTCACCTTTAAAAAAAATTCACCTACATGCTAAAATTTGTGACTCTAAAATCAAGTCATGACACTTTAACATATACATTTTATATATATATACATTCATAGACTACTTGTGCAGATTAAATTTGTATATCAATTATTGAGAATTTCTTGAAGAATTAGGGAAGTTTCTTACAAGGAATAAAGTTTATTTTTTCAAATAATGAGCCTCCATTTGTATTAGAAAATACATATATGTGATTTAGCTTGTGTTAAAAATTAGTTTGGGTAAAAGGCATAGAAAATTAAGCGTTCTTATTAATGAACCAGTGTGACCCCACTGCAAACTGTTGTACACAAGGACACATTTCCTATGATGCCAAATTTCTAGCATAAGTACTACTGTTTCTGTTACATTCCTTCTCTTAAAAATGTCAGATTTGAGATTTTGTGGTAAATCACCTAATCATTTGATTTTCTAAAATAGTACTTCTTTCTCAAATGATTTTTCAGATCAAAAACACAAATTAAAGTGTTACACACAGAAAAATTAGAGCCAAGCAAACCTTTTCTGAACATAGAATTTATAATATGCTGTGATTATTTTATCTAGGTGATTGGGGGATGGGGATTAGAGGGAATAGAGATTCTTATAGTACTCTTCATCACAAAGGAAAGTTAGATTTTGGGGATAAAATTTAATCTTTTTTTTTCCTCCTCCTAGTCCTCAGACCCTTTTGGCTGGCATGAATAAATTTTTGTCTCAACTTGAAATTACATTCAGACGAGATCCAAACAACTATAGACCAAGAATAAACAAACTCAATTCAATTAAGGTATGTATAAAAACTGTCTTGAATTGTAGATAACTTCTGTCTCGATGTATACAATTAATTGATTGAATCACATGTTTCCATTTGGAAGGCTATTTAAAGATCTATAAACCATATTTAATTAATTCTAAGATACATTTTTTTTCATTTTATATCTAATGGCATATTTTAGTCTCTTAGGCAGCAACTGTGATGTAGTTGCCATTGCTCTGTGGACTCAGTTATATTTGTTCATGTCTCTGAGTTGTACTGCCTGTGTTGAGTTTAGTTTGCTGTATCTTCATACTAATTCACCACTGATAGGTTTTTGAGAATACTGTAACCAGTTTCTTTCTTTTATATTTGACTTTTTGTGCCTGCACAAGTTATAATTAAATGATTAAAAAATATAAACAAGCTCTTTCAATGAGATTAAATATTTTAAAAATGCTGTCCATTAAAATATTTTTTATTAATGATGTTTCATTTATTAATGAAAAAATATCAATTTAATGGGCAGCTTTTTTTTTTTTTTTTTTTTGTGGTGGTACATAAAGTAATAGTGTACTTGATAGGTAAGCTCTGCTGACACAGTGGTTAAGTACCAGACTACTAACCTACAGGTCTGCATTTCAAACCCACAGGAGAAAGATTATAGCCTAGGAACCCATATGGGGCAGTTCTGCTCTGCTGTGCTCTGTCTTGTAGGGTTGTCTGAGTCAGAACCAACTCAGAGGCAGTGGGTTTTATGGGTACACTTGATGTAGTCTGTAATACATGGAGTTTGGTTTTTAGAAAGCAAAATTCTCCTGGTTGCTTAAAATAAAGATAAAGTGAGTGAACTTCTAAAAAGCATTTCTGCTGTTTCTAGTATCCCCTACAATGCCTACTTAAAATGTTTATATTTACCATCTTTAACATTTACTGGATTTTATTATAATTATTTTCATATTTGTATCACTAGCTTTACTACTAAACAGTGAGCTCTGGAAGGCAGAGACAAAATCATCTTATTTTCTTAAGTGTGTACATTATGTCTAGATGCCTTAGGCCTTTACTATATATCTTGTTTGTAATAATTTTGTAATGTAATGTCATCCGTTGGCCAGGATGAAGAAATGACAAGTTCTGTCTTAAAGTTCAAGAAATTTCTCAGTTCTGAAAAACATTAAACACATGGAAAGAGTAACTGAATTCTTACTGTGTCTACTTTGTATTGTCATTTGCATGAGTAGAGAGACTCATGGTTTGGTCCCCACTGTGTGCACTCACCTTAGTCATACCTTATTTCTAATAGAGGAGCTGGGCAAGTAGTTAGATGGATTGTTATTGGCCACTCTATAAACAGTACTGAGAAACACTATTTTTATATACATTTTGTGTAATAGGCAATTTTCAAACTGATAACGTTGTTGCCTTTTAGACCAGGTGTAGGAAGTTGAAAGTATACTTTTGTAGCAACCATATTATAATAAATACATAGCAAAATTATCTATGTGTAAATAAGCTTAAGGTAGAGAGTCTGCTCTAGGTATGGGAGCAAAGGTGGTAATCTTGCCTTTAAGTATTGGGTTTAGGAGTATCCAGCAGCAGATGGTGCAGAGGAAGTGGTACAGAGGCTGTTGTAAACACCTCTAAGTAATATTTGGATAAATGTCTACCTTTACCTAAAGAAGATGTTGCTGATCTTTGTTTCTCTATTTTATTTTTTAGGATGTAGAACAAAAGAAGAGTGGAAACTACTTTTTCTTGGATGATTAGATTAAGCCTGAGATATTGATAAGCCATTTATTAAAATAAACATTGGAATTTTGTTGTATAAAATTTTAATCAGGTTTCTATGCCCCACAATCTCTGGAACTTGAAGTATAATTTCCTTAATGTAACATCAAAACCAAGTTTTATTGTCAATTGTAGTCTGAACACAGAAAATGCCTCTTTTCTGTTCTGGACAGCAAGACTTTTTTTGTGCACAACATTCTAAAATGAAGACATTTCAAGTAATACAAATTACCTCCAAGTTTTCATGATGTATGGGAAGATTTTTAATAGGTGTATTATATATATTCATGTTCCATATGCTGACCAGTGTTGCCCCATTTTAAAAATCTTTGAGAACACTCTCTATACTTAAATGGTTTGAAAAGTATACCAATATAATTACACTGCCCTTATTTTAAAAGCTGGTTGAAGACTCTACTGATGAAATTTGATAAATAAACATTTGTCAGGATTATAGTTTGTTACTTGGTTTAGTGTTTGTACCATACTGTCAAAATATCAAACTTTAGTAACAGAATTTTCCCTTGAAAGATACCTACTACAAAACACCAGTGTTAGAAAATGAATATTTGTTACTAACTTAAGCATTATTTTTAGTCTTTTTGTTGCTTTTGAATGTATTTATCAAAAATCATTTCAATGCATCATCTATTCCTACCAGAAAACCCTAACAACTTTACTCTTTGAATTACTCAGTTGTGCCATTTTGTAAGATTCTGTATTAGAAGTAATTATTCCCAAGGGTAATATCATTTTTTTAAACATGCATTTATGTAATCACCGATGAAGATTTAGGAAAAAGCATTTCTAAAGAACATTTGTGTTCCATAAAAACAGTAGTCCTCAATAACGAAATCTAGAGTCCCACCCTAGATGTACAGGGAGCCCTGGTGGCAGTGCTAAGGGTTCAGCTGCTAACTGATCAGCAGTTTGAACTCACCAGCAACTCTGCAGAAGACTTGGCAATCTGCTCCCATAAAGATTAAACCCAGGAAACCCTTTGAGGCAGTTCTACTCTATCTATCTTACAGGGTGTATGAGTTGGAATTGATTTGATGGCAAACAACAACCCTAGAACTCAAACTCTAGCTCACTGCCATCAAGTCAGACCCAACTCATAGCCTTGGATTTCCAAGGCGGTATCACTACGGAAGTAGATTGTCAACCTTCCTTTTGAGAAGTAGCTGGTGGGCTTCAACCGCCAGCCTTCTGGTTAGCAGTAAAGTGCCTTATGCACTACACCACCAGGGTTTGTGCCGAAACATCTGTTTTTAAATTTCCACAGATACTACTGATAGGCAGCCAAGGGTTGTAAATCACTTCCCTAAAGAGAACATTAATACAAGAGTCCCCAGGAAACAGTACTAAGTATCCCTTGGTACCAAATATATTCAGTCTGAATTTGGTTATGTTGTTGTTACGTGCCGATGAGTCGAACCCGACTCACAGCGACCGCTCCTTGGGTTTCCGAGGCAGTATCACTATGGAAGTAGATTGCCTACCCAACCTTCCTTCCGAGGAGTGGCTGGTGGGTTTCAACCACCAGCCTTCTGGTTAGCAGTCAAGTGCCTTAAGCACTACGCTACCACCTACTGCCATCGAGTTGGTTCCAAGTCATAGTGACCCTAGAATAGAGTAGAATTGCCCGATAGGGTTTCCAAGGCTGAAAATCTTAGAAAGCAGACTATCTCATTTTTCTCCTGGTGGATTCAAACCACCAACCTTTTGGTTAGCAGCCGAATGCTTTAACTACAGTTCCGCCAGAGCTCCTTGAGTTCGGATTTAGAGAACTATTTTCTAATTTTTTTTTTTTTTTTTTCCTAGTATTGGATAGTATGTGACAAGAGTTCTTCTAAAACTTTACCCAAATCAGGTTCTAATCCCAGGATGCTGAAACCACTTTAAATTACACTTCTGATTAAGAAACTGGAATTAAACTGATACTATGAGTAAGAAAAATTTGCTCAGTAAATTAATGGGGCAAGCAAAATAAAGAATTAGGAATTATTTGAACAGACTTTTAGAGCTTCTTGAAAAAACAGCAGCTTTGTTTAAAAACAATGGATAAAAAGTATAGTTTAAATTAGCTCCATTAACGCTTTTTAAATATAATTTGAGTATAAATATTTGTGAAAAATTAAAATATACAGAACTGTATGGAATAAAAAGTTATGATCTCTTTTCATACCCTTCCAAGATTACCAGTGTTTAATACATATCCTTTCATGCTTTTTTCTGTGCACTTAGATCTAAGTGTCAATATGTAAAGGGTTTATTTTGTACATAAATGGGATTATACTAAGTAGTGCCTATTTTTAAGAATAGCATAAATATGTGAATGATTATTTCAAATATATTAAATAAAATAAGATGAAAGCTATTTTTATGTACCAGTTTCATATTGTCCTAAAGAAAATGCTTGTTACAGAGCACAGTTCTTTCTATGCAGCTCTAATGAGAGAATATGTTTTTATAAAGTAGTAATGTTCATGTGAATGAAATTTAAAAACATTTAGATGGAACTTAAAATTTTAGGTAATAGGCCTATAATTGCTAACCTGTAAAATTTGTTGCCAACTCAAACACACATCGATGCAAATTTTGGCTATTAAAAATGAGATTGTGGTATATGTCCTGGTTAGGAAAAACCCCTAAATTAGTAAACAAAAAAGGTGCAACAGTGTTAATATAAAACTACTGTTTCTGTGAGAATATACAGAGCATTAAAATATCCAAAAGGATACTCAAGAAACAGATTACTTTTGGGAAGGATAATAGGATATAAGAACAAGAAAGGGAGGGAGACATGTATACTCATACAAAGTACCTTTTGAATTTTATATTGTGCATATATCAACTCTTTCCAAATACATTGGTAAGTTATTAAAAATACAGTCACATTATTGCATTGCACTGATGTAATCTTAACATGCTGCAACTGTTGCTACAGTTTAACCTAAATTTAGACCATAAGCTTCTTGAAGTCAGTCCTTTGTCTTATTCAGCATATCATGTAATGCTTCACATGTAGTGGGTGGGCCTACTTTATTGAAGAAAGGAACCTGCATGCCACAAAAATAGGAAGACTGAAAAATTCAGTTTCTTTAAACTTTTTCATATTCATTAACATATATATATCAAGTCCTTAACCTAGTGCCTGGCATATTGTGAGCACTCTGATTCAGAAGGGGGATAATTATGGAAAATCAGAAAGTACTATGTGGTAGAAGTAACTCCTAGGAAAAAGTAACAGCACCTATCTCGCTGGATTATAAGGATAGATAATACAGTACAAAATACATGTGAGAGACAGAAATAAGTATGGGGCATTCAAGAGGTTAGTGGGAGGAAAGATAAATTCACACAGACTGTGATGGGCTCTCAGTGTCTTAATGTTGTTACGTGCCGTCAAGTCGGACCCAACTCAGCAACCCCTCCTTGGGTTTCCAAGGCAGTATTACTATATAAGTAGATTGCCCAACCTTCCAAGGAGTGGCTGGTGGGTTAAGTGCCTTAGGCACTATGCTACCAGAGCTCCTATATATATATATATATATATATATATATATATATATATGTATATATATATATATATAATAAATGCTGGAATAAGACCAGTTAGGTAGAATTATTCAGGATCTTACACTTTTATTCCTTTGTCTTTTAATCTGAAATGCTTATATCCTATCCGTTTTGCTCATGCAGGTCTAAACCTGCTGTATATTGCACTGCTGACTTGCTCTTGGTGGATTGTTTCCTTGTATTATTTGTTTTGTGAACTGCTATCCAGTGAGGCTTAGTGGTAAACACTGCCCCTTTCCATCATTCCCTGCCAATTTGTGAGGGTAGGCAGTATGCCTAGCGCCAGATGGTAGATCACAGTTGGTCTAAGATAATCATGACAACCCTCTTCCCTATTTCACTTAGGCCATGTGACCCGGTATGGGCCAGTAAGTTGAAAGCAAAAATCTGTTGCGAGTTTTCTGGAAAACCTTTTACTACCCTAATAAAGATACATGCCTAACCGTGCTTCTTGCTAATGTGGTACCTAGAGCATTTTGTGCCCATAAGGTAAAGTGTAAGGGCCAAGAAAGCCACAACAATGCTAGTCCTGATGTCAAGACACTGCACAAATTACCAGCAGCCATTTACCTCCAGATTTCATTTAAAAGAAAAATCCTTATTTTAGCTACCATAAATAAGTTGGTTTTGTTACTTGCCACCAGAAGTATTCCCCCTAGGCTGAGGACTGTCCCTACAAAGCCTATTTGCTTCTGCTAGATTACCACTTAGAATGACTTAATTTGGGGATCACTGGACCTTAAGCCTAAAGAAATGTGGTAACCTTCTTGGAGACTTTTTTAATAAGCTAGTTCCCAGGCCAAAAGAGGAATTTTTTATTATTCACCTCACTGGGGTGATACTGATGCATGTTCCAGCTCCCAATCTTCACATGCCCAAGGCTATTTACTCTCCCATATCTCTATTTGTGCTTAACTGCCTTTGAATCAGCCTTGACTCATGGTGAGTCTCAGCAGAAATGCTGCTTGGTCTTGTGCCATCTCCTTGATCAGTTATGGATCAGACCACTTTGATCCATGGAGTTTTCTTCCATTGGTTGCGATAAAGGACTTCCTTTCTGCCCCTATCTACATTGTCTTGTGTTAATTAGACTGGGAACCATCCCCATCCCCATAGAGGGTAGCCTGAGTATTTCATGTACCTGTACCGCTGGTTTGTAGTGTTTTGGTGCCTAAACATCTTCCTAGGTGTGCACTCTCAACTATGAATTTTGAAGACTTTCTAGATTTTATTTAAGTCTAGGTAATTTGTATCAAGACCATATTAAAATTTGGCCATCAGTTTCCTCATGTGTGAAATAAAGATAATGTGATTGGAGAAGAAAATAAATGGCAATAAATAAATACCTTTAAAGTCATAAAGGAGATGTTCTTATTCCCAATTTACAAGACAAATTA